TACAAAATAGTTAGGATAGATATACAGCTACTTTCATTTAATTCAATGAGAAGAAAGAGGTGTACTAATAGTGTTTGGACAGGATATCCTGTCTGCTTCTTGTACTATGGATAACCACTAAGAAGATAACAATGTACAATGTACTGATTATCAAAACTGTCCTATTACTCAGCTTTGAAACTGTCTCATTCATATTTGTTTCTCAATAAAATTAAAATTAAAAAAATCCATTGGTGAGAGTTCAAGAACCTCAAATACTTCAACTCTCGTTGCCCTTCTGCCAATTTAAATTCTGCCCCTTATCAGCCCACAAATTTGATGTTTTTATGACTTTCTTTATATATAGGTGTTTGTTTAGATTTATGAAAAGATTCACCATTTTGCTTGCTTGCCATCCTTTCCTGCACCTTCCTCTGGCCTCAGTGATCTTCTTCCGAAAGTATGTCTTCAGAAGTTGCGCTGGTCCGAGTCTGTTGATTTTTAATGCCAACTTTTGTTTCCCTGAAAATGTCTTTACTGTTGTAACTCAAAAATCAGATGACAACGAGGCAAGTCCAAAAATTAAAGAAGTGCTTTCTTTTAGCTGGTACCCAGCGGCAGTCTCTATGCAAGGTGCAGGGAGGCACCCCGAGCATTGCCAAGGTGCAGTATTTAAGCTTGAAAACTGCAGAAACGGGGGGGGGGAGGTGGAGAGGAAGAAGTGGCAGGGTCACTAGTTCATGGGGTGGTCCTGTTGGGTGGGGGTGCTGAGTTGGCAGTCATACAGAGTTCATTGAGATAAGATTTGGAGAGCAGATATCATAAGGCTTGAGTCATAGGGGGTGAGGAATTGGGAGGAATTTGAGTTGGCAGTCAAGGGGTGAGGAGTTGGGAGGGGTTGGTGCCTACAGAACAGGAACTCGGCGAGGTTAGAAGGGCAACAAAATGGAGTCAATTTTGACAGAGTACAACATTTACTAAAAATGGGGGAGGGGTTGGTAGGCATGGTGGTGTATTCCTGTAATTCCAGCACTTGTGGAGCTGAAGCAGGAAAGTCACCTGAGTCCAGGAGTTCAAGACCAGCCTGGGAAATATAGCAAGACCCTGTCTAGAAATAATGGGGAAAGAGTACACAATTCTAAGTAAATACTTCCTTTCTCACCATTCTATGAAGACCTTCAGTTGTGCCCTAAACTCCGTTGCTACTACTGACGAGTCTGTTATCAATCTAGTATTCAAGTAGTCTGACTTTTCTTCCTTTTTTAAAAAATTTTATTTATTTATGTGTGTGTGTGAGTGTGTGTGTGTGTTGTGTGTGTGGCCAGCTCAGCCCACCAGGGGACGGGGCTGGCTGGCATGTGGTGCTGGGGGATTGACCCGCGGTCCCTGTGCTTTGCTAAGCTTGTTCTAAGTAGGTGCTTTAGACCACTGAGCCATCTCACCAGCCCCTGACTTTTCTTCCTGAGTGACTTTTGACACTTTATCTTTCAGATATGTGTGTGTGTGTGTCAAGATTGTGTTATTAGGAGCCGGGGAGATAGCTCAGTGGAATAAGCGCTTGCCTGGCAAGCTCAAGGGCCTGAGTTCAATCCCTGGTTCTGAAGAGAGAGAGAGGGAGAGAGAGAAAGAGAGAGAGAGAGAGAGAGGGAGAGAGAGAAAGAGAGAGAGAGATTGTGTTATGAGATGCATACAACTTGAGAATATCTGTTGTATGTTATGGGTTGGTGCCAAAGGAAACGACGAGAAGACCTGATGAATGTAGCTTCAGAGGTCTCACTGAGCTTAGTCTCTCTCCAAGTGAGCCCCGAGCCTCAGAAGCATCTCACATTTATTGAGGGGTAAAGGCAGGCTAAGGAATGTGCATAATTACCTAAGTGAATACAAACTACTATCTCTATCAACTTCCACCATTTGCCTAACTCTAGGTCCACACAAATGCTAGCCGATAACATCCCAAGCAAGGGATCAAAGAAAGAACAGGCGGCCAGGAGGAGAAGCTGCTATCTGCAGCCTTGAATCCCAGCTTTCCAGGGTTTACAAGTGACAGACAGCAGCTCTCCCTGGGCCCTGTCTATAGCTCCCTGCTCCCCTGGGACTTTAGGCTTTTGTTTCTATAAATATCTTTTAGGTGATTTGAGTTTTATATCATTATGCTGTGATCTCAATTGATAACAACATGAGTTATAATTAATAACATATTTTGTCTGATATTAAAATACCACACACACACACACACACACACACACACACACGCATCTTTGGCTGTTCTTCAGTTTATCGTGCTGGGCGTGCACGGGGACTCATGTTGATGGTGTGTGCTGTGTGTGTGCAAAGAAAGGGCGGATCCTTAAAGATTCCTCTTCTTACGAGCTTATGGGTGCTTTAAAAAGTGTATTGCTATCTGTGATCCAAATATTCTGTAAGAAGATCCTTGACAGTATTTGGTCAGTGTTATAACCCAAGAAGGAGACAACGAGGCAAAACGTCCAAAAAGATGGTAGCGCTTTATTTTAGCTGATACCCAGCGGCACCCTCAGAGTCCAAGAGACAGAGAGGAGCCCCGAGTAAGGGGAGGCACAGTAATTTAAACCCAAAAACCGCAAAACCGCCCATCCAGGCAAGCCGATCACAGAAGCCAAGAGCAGATGTTCATGTGGTTAAGGGGGCACATGACCTTTTACAGGATTGGGTGTAGCCCACCTGGAGGAAGCTGGACACAGAGGAGTTACCCCTTTGGACTAGGTGGAGTACAGAACAGGATGTGTAATCTAGGTATGCAGTCTTGCTGACCTTATAAGGACAATGTGGCCGACCGGTTGCCTCGGGAAAACATGTTATTGCCTTTGGAAATTCTCCGAACCAGAGCAGGAGTTACTAACGTCAGGGTATAACACGCCCTGAAGGGAGTGGGCCCAAGAAACAGAAGTCACATTTTACAGTAGCTGACATGGTTTAACTAAGATGGCGCATACAGAACAGGATGGCGGCGCTTTGGTCAGGTTATAACAGTCAGCTACAATCTCAGAAGCAAAAGTTGCTGTGATTTTTTTTTGGTATGGGCATAACCCTGTGTGTGCTTAGTGGTGTGTTTAAAATCCTTGGATGTGCACACTTTTCTATGCATACATGATGGGGGGGGAGAGAGAGAGAGAGAGTTAGAGTTTGGTGTGTGCTTTCCTCTGCTGTCTTCAATAAGTCCTCCAGATCTTCCTGTTTTCATCGCCTCCTCACAACCTCACTGCAGTTTCGTGGACAGAGTCAAATCTGGTTGGTACCTGGTTTCCAGAGGGACAGGGAGAAGCCCCGGGGAGAGCTATGCTGGGCTAAGCCCTTCCTCCCTCTGTCCCTTCCGCAGCTTTGCTCCCAAGGATTACACCTCCTTCAGCATCCGTGCGCCCCCAGACGTGGTCGTGGATGTCACCCACAGCTCTCCAGCCAAGAAGAATCCCACGGGTTCCTCCAAATGGCCCCTGGACCCCAGGCTGGAGGTGGCCCTGCGGATGAAAGCCACCAGCAGCAGCACGGGCGACCAGAAGGTGAGTGGGACAGCTGGGCACCGGAAATGCGGGAGAGCCTCAGCCAGCAGCCACATCCCTGCTGGCACGGTGCCAGCCCCACAGAGCTGAGGACATCTGTGGGACAAGAAAACCGAGGAGGGGGACAGTCCTGTCTCAGTCAGTGTAAAGGCCTGGGACCTCTTTTTTTTTTTTTTTTTTGCGGAACCAGGGATTGAACTCAGGAAGCGCTTATTTTATTGAGCCATCTCCCCGGCCCCCAAAATATCGAACGCTTCACGAATTTGTGCTCGCTTCGGCAGCACATATACTAAAATTGGAACGATACAGAGAAGATCAGCACTACCCCTGCACAAGGGACCTCATTTCCGAGGGTAGCAAGAAGCAAAGCTTTCAGCCTAGGAGTAACAAGCCCACGTTCGTGCTCTAAAGTGATCCCACTGGCTGCCACAGCAATGATCCAAGGGGTACACGAGAGGCAGGGGGCCCGGACGACAAGAGGCAGCAAGGCGTGGAAGCTCCCTGGGTCCCCGCTGCCAACAGAACGGGCCCAGACCTTCCTTGCACCTTTACTTTGCTTAGGGGAAGCCCTGCAGTCTTAGTGCCGGGGCGTGTCAGCAGAAGCCCCGCCCTTCTCTGACATCCGGGCCAATCAGATACATCCTCCTGAGCCGGGGCGGGGCTTCAGGGCCGGAACCCTGTTAGGAGCGCGTAGTGTAGGAGCTACATCCCGCTAGCCCTTCTTGGAGTCGGTGCGTTAGACAAAGGGACTTGGTGTTTGGGAATCTTAGCGGCACCTGCCTGAAGACACCGGGACTCCCTACCTCCCAGGTGCCCACGGGGGTGACCTGAGGTCTTCCCTCCAACTCTTCCGCTTGCTGTGGTTGATAACCAGCTCTCTCCCCTGATGTTTTCTCCACCCCAGCTCCATCTGCCTACCCTCTGCTCCCCCCACCCCCAAATCTACTTTCAAGAGGCACTTTGAAAACCACCCCGGCCCCCTTTCCCAGGCAGAACAAGTCCCTCCATTTCCGAGCTCCCACAGGACCATCTTCTATGGCACGGTAGCCCCCTGAGCTCAGCTCAGCTGAGCTGGCAGACAGCAGGCTTCCGATCGGTGTTTGTTGAATGGCTAAGAGAAGTCACTCGTGCCCTGCTGCTCTCTTTAGGTTCAAATTTCGTACTACGGACCCAAGACCCCTCCAGTGCAAGCTCTCCTCTACGTCACGGCTGTGGGTAAGCGTTGATCCCTCCAGCAGGAGGGGAGGGGCCTTAAATTACTGCTTCTTCACTTATTTCTTAAGTTAGGAACTGGGTACATAATTTTCAACATACATGTCCCACAACATTCATGATGCCGCAAATATTTATAGCAAAAGTAGACGATGACACTGTTACCTGATAGTGGACGCCGTGCTCCCTAAAGCCACTATTCAGATTCCATCCTCACCATTTTTGTCACGCCCACAACCCACCTGTACTCAAATGCTCATATTTATTTAATATTAGTTTTTATATACAACACATTTTTAGGATTGCTTGAGTCCAGGAGTTGGAGGCCAGCCTCAGCAACATAGCAAGACCCTTTCTCTTAAAAAAAAAAAAAATAACTTTTAAAAAACTGGACATGGGGCCAGGGAGATAGCTCCGTAGAATAAGCATTTGCCTGGCAAGCTCAAGGGCCTGAGTTCAATCCCAGGTACTAAAAAAAAAAAAAAAGCTGGACATAGAGCAGGGTGTGGTGGCATATGCCTATAATCCCAGCACTCAGGAGGCTGAGGCAGGAGGATCCTTGCAAGTTGGAGACCAGCCTGGGATACAAAGTGAGCTCAAGGCCAAACTGAACTGCACAGAGAGACCCTGTCTCAAAAAGACCAAAAAGAAAAAAGAGTCTGTCTCAATCAAAACAACTACACTAGGGGCTGGTGAGATGGCTCAGTGGTCTAAAGCACCTACTTAGAACAAGCTTAGCAAAGCACAGGGACCGCGGTTCAATCCCCCAGCACCACATGCCAGCCAGCCCCGCCCCCTGGTGGGCTGAGCTGGCCACACACACACAAAATAAATAAATAAATGTTTAAAAAAAAAAAAAAGACAACTACCCTAATAAAACCTTTTTTTTTTTTTTTTCTTTTGTATTTAGGACAGGGTCTATAGGGTCTCACTACATAGATCGGACTCGTAGTGATCCTCTTGTTTTCAGCCTCCCAAGCGCTGGGATTACAGGTGCGCACCACCACGCCTGGTCTCCTACATGGTCTCAGTGTGTCTTTGGTGAGGAGCCAGCACAGCACGCCCAGGATCAAACCCCGGCCGCTGCGCTCTGCCTAAGCAGGCACTTCAGTCCGCTGAGCCATCAGGCCAGCCCCATAAAAACCCGTTTTTGACCTGACTTCATCTTGAGAAGTATCATACCGTTTTGACTGAAGTGAGCATTAAGCATAGAGATAACTGGACCTTTCCGGTTTCGTCTTAATAACCAGCCCCGTTCATGAACATACATTTAAACAATAATAAGCGAGCCCTGACTCTGCACCAGGGACAGTGATGAGACTCCGTGTTTACTTTGGACAGCGATCCAGGAAACTGTGCTGCTATTATCCCATTTTCCAGATGAGGCAGTTGGGGTGCAGGAGGCAAACAGACCCGCCCAGGGTCACACAGCTGGGTAGTGAAGTAAAGGACAGGTCTTGGCCCCTGTGGACATGGCTGCCCGTCCCTATAAGACATCAGGCCAAAAAAAAAAAAAAAAAATTAAATAAATAAATGACATCAGGCCAGCACCCCTCAGGACAAGGGTCCCTGTACTATGCTATGGGCATGAAGGTCTGTGTCAGATGCCCACAGCTTGGGGTCCTGGGCTGTAATTTGTACCTTGATGTAGAGGCACGCAGGTAATGGAGAGCAGGTGGGGGAGGTCTAACCACTCCAGTGTGCCTGACGGCCTGGGCACATCGCAAGGGTGGTGCGGGATTCTTCTGGAAGCCTAGAGGGGCTGGGGTCAGACCCTCACGATTTTGTGGGTGTCCCAGTCATAGCCCCCAAAGGAGGGCAGGTGGTCAGGGGCTCACTGAACTGCGGCCAGACCAGGCTGAGCAAACCCACTGCTCATCCTCACCAACCTTTTCCTCAAATTTATTGAATTTCAGAAATCTCCCTGCTGGCGGATGTCACCCGCTCTGGCAAAGTGAAGCCAACCAGCTCCATGAAAGACCAGGTACCCCTCCACTTGGACCAAATGCTCCCTTTGCCCTCTGGGGCTCTCCTACAGCGCCCCCTAGTGGACATCTTTCAAACAGCAATCCATCTCATGTTTTCGTGTGTGTGTGTGTGTGTGTGTGTGTGTGTGTGTGTAGTTTTCCTTGTTGACTGTCAACAATTGAGGAAGAAGAGAAAGAATATTTTAGTTTATACTGTACGTGTCCCATGTCTTTTACAAGATGATAATTGTCACCGATTGTGGTTTCAGAATCCCTAGACTCTCTCCTGAGTCACCCAGTTAAATCCACATTGGAGAAAATATTTGTAAATATTTTCAACTCTGGCTCACAACTCCCCACCGTAGGATTTCATGACTCCATGTGGCTGTTGGCCTGGAGTGAATAATGGAAAGGAGGAGGCTGCGGCAGGGAGAGAGGGAGGTAGCTGGCCGGGACCTGTGTGCTGGAGATATAGGGTGGCAGAGTGTGCAGAAAGGACCTTAAAACTGTTGCCCTGATGTCCCTGGGTGAGGTTTGGGGTGTCCCTGATGCCTCAGGACCGCCTGTACAATTTTTTTCCCGGTACTGAGCTCAAACCTAAGGGCGCCGTACCACTAAGCTGCATCCACAGCTCTTTTTATTTTTTTAATGTTGAGACAGGGTCTTGGTGTGTTGTCAGCCTGGCCTCAAACTTGTGATCTTCCTGCCCCAGTAGTCTGGCTCTGCCCACCCAATTTTACACTAGCACGCTTGTGTGCACGTCAGGAGATGCCAACCTGAAATCCCAAGCCAGGCTAGCGGCGCACACGCCTGTCATCCCAGCGCTTGGGAGGCTGAAGCAGGAGGATCATGAGTTGGATGCCAGCCTGGGCTGTATAAGAAGACTCTGTCTCCAAAAAAGAAAAAAATCTGGAGCCAGCCGGAAGTGCAGGGAAGGGGGCTGGGCTATAGCTCAGTGGCTGAGAGAGCATTTGCCTGGCTGACTGAGAACATGAGCTGCACCCCTAGTACTGCAAAGAAAAAAAGAAAGCGAGGTGTGGAACTCAGGACTTTCACACAACTACATCTCCAGCCTTTTTTTTTTTTTTTTTTTTTTTTTGCTTTTGTATTTTGAGACAGCGTCTAGGTTGCCCTGACTGGGTCCCACCTTGAGGTCCTCCTGCCTCGGCTGCATGCCAACAGAAAGATTTTAGGGTGGGGATGAATGGCTACCTGTAGTCGCTTGCCACAGCAAACAGGGCCCTGGGAAGGAGGCGTGATCACTTTTAGATCCGCACAGGTTGTGGCCAGTTAATTTGCTTTATCTTTGGGCAAAGAGCGACTGGCTGCTAAGAATAGACCCACCCTGGCCCAGCGGGTAATCAAGAGTTCAGAAACACAGTAACGAAGCAGATCAGACTCTTGTCAGATATACTCGGCTTTGTTTATTTTGTCAATCCAACTTTTTTTTTTTTTTTAAAGCGGTCAAAATCCAGTTTACTGTCTTTCCGTCTCCTACTTTTAGATGGATGAATTGCTTTTGAGTTGACTCTTGCAGCAGGCAGAAATTCACTCTAGGAACCCGAGATCCTTTGGTGTGGGCTCAGGAGGGAGGGGTGTGGCACACAGGGCTTGGGGTGACAGGAAGCCCGAGGGGTCTGCTTGGGTCCTGAGTGGGCTCCTCTCTGCCCGGCTCTGCAGAGCACCTGGACCTGGGGCACCTCCGGACAAGGTGCCATTCTGCTAGTAAACTGTGACAGGGACAATCGCAAGTCCTCCCACACGGACTGTGAGGATGAGGAGGTGCTGGACAGCAAAGGTAAAGCCTCTTGCTCCGCTGGGGGGACCAGGGCTTTGTCTCTGGGAAGCCTCATAGTCTCTGTGGCCGGAGCTCTTGACGGTCCTCTGAAGTTAGAGACCCCTGCCCAACCTGAGCATCTGCTCAAACCTGGAGTCCAAAAGCGATCAGAATGAAAGCTGCCAGCAAGCCTGGCCGAGTCCCTCCCAGACCCCTGACAGCTGAACTCTGATCTGAGCCCTAGGGGCTAAGTAACTCATTCAGACCTTCAACTCTAAGCCTAATGGGTGGGAAACCAAGGCACAGAGAAGTTAAGCAACTCGCCCCAGGCCACACAGCTAAAAGGTAGCAGACTCGGGATTTGCATCCAAGCATGCTGACACCAGGGTCTGGGGCGGCAGGTGCTGCTCACCTGCCCTGGAAGGGATGCTAAGGGGCAGCTTTAGCTGTGCACAGAGGGGATCAGGTGCCTGCCATGTGCTGTCACTATTCCAGGAGCTGGGGACACAGCAGTAAACAAAATAACGCAGTCCCTGCCTCGCTGAGTGGGCATCCAAGGCTCGGGGGTGGGGGGGATCAGAGGCTTCATCCAGAGTGAAAGCACTGTCTCCCTAGTGACAGCAATGAGACAGGGTGACAGGCACAGCATGGCTGGACTGCATCAGGAGGGGAGGTCGGCCTGGTGACTCAGGGATCTTGTTCCAGACTTGCAGGACATGTCGCTGATGACCCTGAGCACAAGGACCCCCAGAGACTTCTTCACCAAGCACCGGTTGGTGCTGCACGTGGCCAAGTCGGAGATGGACAGAGTGAGGGTCTTCCAGGCCACACGTGAGTGCCCCTGCCTCTGCGCTGTCATCTCCCTGTGTCCCCATCCCTTGCCCCCGTGGGGCAGAAACCCCTGAGGGACTGCCAGGGGCAGGGGAGTAAAACCAGGAAGCTGCGAGCTAGGCACGTGGCTCTGTCCACACCCCTGTAGGTGGGATGCAGGCACCATGTCCAGGAAGGAAGCAAGCCAGGAATGGGACATGGCCCCTGGCCCCTGTCACTTGCTCCTCACTGGTCTGGGAGGAACAACTGGAACATACCTGAGCAGGACACCCAGGTGGCTGGCATGGGATACAACAGGGGAGGGGACAGAGAGCACAGAGGTGCCCAGGTGGCTTTCCTTAGAAGCCTCATGGGAACAGGCACAGCCTAGGGAAGGACACTGCAGGCAGGGCTAATAGCAACTGTCAAGGCCGGGACCCTGGCTTAGTGACAGATGGACTGTGCCTTCAGAGACACTGCCTCCTCCAGGAAGTCCCCCAGGCTTCCTCCAGCACAGTGTTGGATAGCTAATACTATAATGGTCTTTCTCCTCCCTAGGATGGCCCCCCTGTGCCAACCCCCAGGGTCAGCTTAGATGCAGTTAGAGCAGTTGCCCAGAAATGAACGAGTGGGTGAACAATGGGGGTAGGGGGTCCTGGAACACTGGGAATGGCTCAGGCAGGTCCTGTCCTTCCTGGACCCCAGCCAGAGAGCAGCCACAGGAAGTGGCATGGGTGGAAGGCACCCCAGCACCAGGGAGCGGGGACGAGGGATAGAGCTTGGGGATCGTGTTTGTAGGTATGCGTGAGGGCCTGGGACTCCAGCACCCCAAGGATGGAGAAGAATGAGGAGAGGCAGGGAAGGAGAGAGCAAAAGAAGAATAGGGCTGGTAAGACAGCTCAGCAGACTAAGCGCCTGCTTAGGCAGACACAGGGACCAAGGTTCCATCTCCGGCACCACATGCTGGGCCAGCTCCACCCCTGAGCATGGTAGCACGTGCCCGTAATCCTAGCGCTGGGAAGGCTGAAAGCAGGAGGATCACTACGAGTCCAAGCTAGTAGTGAGACCCTGTACTGAACACATAAAGAGAAGAGAAGGAAGGAAAAGACTGATAGGGAGAGAAGAAGGGGGGCCTGGACCTGAGCCTGCTCTGCCTCTGTTTAGGGGAAAACCTGCCCTGTAAGTACGAGGTGGTCCTGGGGCCCGAGCAGCCGTGTCATCCCCTGGAACTCCCAGGGGGCCAGCACAACACAGACTTCTATGTGGAGGGCCTCACTTTCCCTGACGCTGACTTCCCAGGACTCATTTCCATCCGCATCTCCCTGCTGGACATCTCTAACCCGGTAGGTCAAGCAGGGGAGGCAGCCCAGCTGGGGAGTGCAGAGTCCCCAGAATGTGGCAGAGGGTGAACAGCCCTGTCTCCCCTCCCCTGCAGGAGCTCCCCGAAGCCCTGATTTTCCAGGACAGCGTAGCCTTCCGTGTGGCCCCCTGGATCATGACCCCCAATACCCAGCCTCCCCAGGAGGTGTACATGTGCAGGTAAGGGCCTGGGTGCAGCCTGCTCAGTGACAACAGTCCTTGCCTGACCCACTGGCAGCTTCTGTGGGTTCGGGACCATACAAAGTCCAGCACCTATAGTCCTAGCACTCTGGAAGGCCGAGGCAGGAGGGTCACAAGTATGAGTGACAGAACAAGTCAGGGAGGAATGAGGACCCCTAACTCCCTGACTTAGCAAGACCCTGATCCAAAATTAAAAATGACAACCCCTAGGGATATAGCTCAGAGCAAAAGTTCAAGCTGGGCCACCCCAGGAGGCGGGAGCTTGGGCATGACCTCCTCACCGTCCACCCATCCTGCATGGTTTGGGGGCGGGGGTGGAGTTCAGGACCCAGAGGCTACCAAGAACAGAGACACAGGATGGAGCAGGAGCCTCTGGCCAGGCCACCAGCCCCAGCCCCCTGTCAGACCCAAATTCAGGGGTCCTGGGCCGCTACTCTGCTCCTAGTATTTTTGGAAATGAAGACTTCGTGAAGTCAGTGTCTGCTCTGGCCAAGAAAGCCAAGTGCAAGGTGACCGTCTGCCCTGAGGAGGAGAACCAGGACGACCAGTGGATGCAGGTGTGTGGCCTGCCCAGTACACAGGGAGGGGGACCTCCCAGTGTCTTTGCCCAAGGTGGCCCAAGCCACTGATCCTCTGACCTTGTGAACCCATTCTGGGCTGCTCAGGCCAGTGCCCCAGAAAAGGCTCCCTCATGGGCTCCCTGGCTCACCTGTCAGACATGCCACACCCTCGCCCCGGCTCTTTCCATGGCACAAACCCCTGGAGGCAGGGTCTGCTCCTGATTCCATGCTGAAGCCCCCTGCACCCTCATCTGCCAAAGGGCGAGGCCTGGCCTGGCCTGCCTCCCTCCCGGCAGAACAGGGCTCGGCTTCCCTCCCAGTGGAACATCTTCTTCACTCCTCCCAGTGCTCTGGGCGGCCTTCTGTGGGACTCTCAGGCCCTCCCCACCACCTCCTGATAGCTGGTGCTTGATACCAACTCCGGCTCACTGTGGGCCCCAGAGCCTGGGGCACTGCTGGACAAGGTCAAAGAGCTGTGGTTTCCTGGCATCTGGTGCACAGGACAGTTACAGGACAAAAGCTCTGCTCTTTGGGCTGGGGAGATAGCGCAGCGGTCTAAGCACCTACCTGGCAAGTGCAAGGACCCAGGTTTGATCCCTGGTGCCACATGCAATGTTGGCCCCAGTAATCCCAGAGCAAGGGAGACTGAGACAGGAGGATCACTGAGTCTCTGAGCTGTGTAGCAAGACCCTGTACCAAATACATAAATAAACAAAAGGGTTTTTTTTTTTTTTTTTTTTTTTTAAAGCTCTACTTCCCAGAGCCCTTCTCTGGGGTCATACATGTCACGGGGATTTGCTCTTGACAATGAGGGTGACCTTTCAGGGGTTCCACGCCTGTCCGTGTGCTAGGTGCCCAGACCACGACAGCACAGGACTCAGCCTTGCCCTCTTCCCGGCACAGGATGAAATGGAGATTGGCTACATCCAGGCACCACACAGAACGATGCCCGTGGTGTTCGACTCCCCGCGGAACCGAGGCCTGCAGGACTTCCCCATCCAACGCGTCCTGGTACCCGCGCAGGGTGGGCGGGGCCCTCTCCTGCTCCTGCCCCGGCTACCCCTGGGCTCTGAAGGCCGAACTCCTGCGCAAGCAGATCCCACGGGTCGGGTGCGGCTGGCTATTACCGCGATAAGATCCAGCTCTCCCTTCCCCAGCCCTTGCACCATGACCTCAGCTGTCCCCAAGATGACCCGGGGGGGAGGTGTCGGGCTTCCTTGGGCTGAGCGTTTGCCGTGGGGTGGGGGTGGGGCTTGGCTTCCAGGGGCTCCATCCGGGATGGGGAGCTGGGCATCAGTGTCCATTTCCTGGGTGCGACCTCATCAACTGAAATGTCCGCATGGGGGGAGTGGCACACTGCTGAGTCGCACTGGACGAGGCTGGCAGATTGATGTAGACTCAGCACAGAGTAATAATAATAATAACAATAATAATAGTTACGTTTACTGAGTTTGCCTTTTGTGCCAGTCACTCTGCTGAGTCCTTTACAGACACTGACTCATTTAATTCCATGACCTTCTGTGGAGATGCTATCAGTTGGCCCATTTTGCAAATGAAGAAACTGAGGCTCAGAGTACAGCTATCAGAATTCAAACCAGACCAGTGTGGAGCAAACCCTTCCCCACAAAGCTGCTCTGCTTTCCCAGGAATACCCAAGATGGCACACTGAGAAAGTCAACGAAGGAGTGTGGTGTGTAGGTTGGCTAAGACAAACCGCTTCCGGGCAGCATCACGCGCCCCAGGGAAGGGCAGGCGGCCCTGCCCACACAAGAAGCTCCAGGAAGGAATCTTCAGCTTGCTAACTGCTGGCCTTGCTTCCGCCCGGCCTCGCCCCCATCCGAGTGGCAGAGACACCCCACATCAGAGTTGCAGGATACAGGGATTTTATTGGATTCCCCAATCAGGTGCAAAGGGTTGAGGAGATAGCTCAGTGGACTAAGTGCTTGAGACCGGGGTTCGATCCCCAGCACCACACACTGTGTGCGCCCTGCTCCTGGGCACGCTGAGCCAGCCACAGAGACCAGGAGTGGTGGTGCATACCTGTGATCCCAGCATTGGGGCGGCTGAAAACAGGAGGATCACTACAAGTCCCAGCTGCATAGTGAGACCCTGTACCAAACACACAAAAATTAAAAAAAAAATCATAATAGCCCGATCAGGTGCACCCCATTTCAGGGGCACGGGTTAGCTGTCAGCTTGTGCTGTGACTTGTCATCAATTTCCAGTTTCAGTCCTATCTTTTTCAGTGGCTGCATCTCCTACTATGCTACTCCGTGTGTGACAATAGCCACAAGACACAGCCCCTGCTGGGCAGATGACCCCTCAGCACGGCCGTCCCCTGCAAATAGCTATGGAATAAGGAAGGTTACAGTGGTGACTGGGGACACCTGCAGCCTTGGGCCCAAGCCATTCAGCGTACAAAGGATGGTAGGGTAAAGCCCAGGCTTGTGAGCAGGGCTCTCCTGCTCTCACCTGCTCCTCCACATCACCCTGGGCCACCCGTCCTGTCCCCTACCTGGCAGCAGCCCCCAAGTCACCTTCCTGTTCACCTCACCTTACCCTTATGACAGCAAGCAGAAACACCAAAAGGACACCCAGGATATGGAGGTGGATTTGTGCTACCGGGCACCGATCCGAATCATTCCCAGAATATCAGGCTGCAATCTTTCATGGTCTAGAGGCAGAAGGGCCTGTCAGTTGGGGATTGATTCACACCCTGTGCACCACGGTGACCAGCTACATATCACGGTGACCAGAAGTCTCTAAGAGACAGAAGCAACCAGAACTGGAACAGGAACTATTATTACCTGGGCAACTAAGAAACCGAAGTGTACTGGCAGGGAGAGGGAGTATTTTGTTACACCCTCCCTCAGGACCTTTGCACGTGCTGGTCCTCCTGCCTGTTTCAGGGCTGGCCAAGACCTTCCGGTCTCGGCTTCGGTGCCCTCCTCAGCACTACATAGTGGTGTCCTGTCCATTAAAACAGTGACCCTGAATCCTGTGTCACCACTATGACTGGGAAACCTCGGCATGATGGGAAACCTCGGCATGATGGAAGCCACCACACAGAATTAAAATTCTGTTTAATTTAAACAGAATTAAAGTCAGCTCACCCCAGACGACTACAAAGACTGTAAGCTTGCTGGGCACTGTGAGCCCTCTGTTTAGAACCTAAGAAGCTGGACATCTTAGTCTTTTTTTTTTTTTT